CAACTAGCCGCCAAGCTATCAGGAAGTTTTCATTCAGTAACTCTGGATTGTTTATTGTAAGACGTATTGTATTGTATTGAACCTGTTTTTGCCTTTGAATGTTAAGTTTTATACTTGATTTTTTTGGCAATGTTGAGAGGTTTTATTTTGGCTCTTTGTATTATTTAGCCTCTTCAGAGACTTCATATGTTATCAGTCTGTTAAAGATAGTATTATCAATAGCAGTACAATTTGCACAATGCCTGTTTAGTTTAGTTTTCTTCTTGAAAAAAGTTATTAAAAACAAGTTTTTGTCTAAATAAAGGTGATTTCATGGTTCCTTTTTCCACATAATGTAACCAGTAGTGTTTATGATAAAAAATAAATAAATAATTATGTGATCGGTATCGGTGATCGGTATCGGTGATCGGCCCTCATGGGTGAGGAAAAAACCTGATCGGCACATCTCTATGAAAAAGTATTTGGTAGACAGTCTGACCAAAAAATCAATCATTTAATATCTAAAAATACATAATCAGATGGACCAAAATGTAAAGTTATGTGTAAATTTGGAGTATTTTATGAACAAAAGTGGAAATAATTTATATAAATAACATAATTACAAAGTAACAAAATCAGGCAAAAAAGAAAAAGAAAAAATCCCAAATCCTTTTATTTTAATGTAAAGTTTATGAAACTTTGACAAAATCTTCAGCATATTTTTACTGAAGTGAAAGTAAAAGGTGGCCGTCCATGAAATTACTCAGGTAAGAATAAAAAAAGTATTTGGTAAAAGGTCGACTCAAGTACTGAGTAACTGATCAAATTATCAATCATTTAACATTTTAAAATGACATCAACAGATGGACCAGAACATAAAGTTAAGTAGAAATTGGGGTATTTTAAAGATGAAAATGACACTAATTTATATGAATAACAAAAAGGCAAAAGAAAATGTTTCCAAATCAGTTTTTTCAACAAAAAACTGATGAAACTTTAACAGAAACCTCAGGTGTGTATCTGTGTCTGCTGAAGTTTTGGTTAAATTAGTTGGTTAATTTCTTATTTAGAGGGTAGAATATAAGTAAGAGTAGAAATACTTCATAATAAAGTTACTCAAGTGAGTAAATGTAACTAGTTACTGGAAATAAGAGACACTAAAGAACATCAACAAGCCAGAGTTAATTCAACGAGTAAGTCCAACAGAGGTTCAGAGATGTTTTGAAGTGAAGGCAGGTGAGTTTACCCAGGTGTAGGAGCAGGAGAAGCAGCGTCCACAGCCCCATCGTCCCCCCCATAGGGTTGAAGCTGGCAGCGGTCGGGGAAGCGTTGTTGTCTTGTCAGAGGTAAAAGACGCACACTGGGAGGTGATGGGGGTGATGGTGTGGGGGCTGGGAAACCAGATCCGTCACTCAAAGTTTCTGTTTCCTGAGAAGTCCCTCCCTGTGTGTCTGCAGCCTGAACGGACGGCGACACACACACAGAGAGAGAGCACCGTTCTGAAACCAGAGGATCCAAACAGCACAGTCATGAGATAAACTGATCAGATGATTTTTTTAATCTCCAGTTTAACTCCTGTAAATCCAGATGATCCTGCACTGCAAAAACACAAAATCCTACCACGGCTTTTGTCTAGTTTCTACTTTACCTAGTGCATTTGTAGGAACTTCTTTTAAGTCAATAATTCCCTAACATTGATTTTTTAAAAAGTATAAGTTACACTCATAAATTATTTCACTTGTAACAAGGAAAAATGTCTTATTGGTGAAAAAAATCTGAAAATCAATTTTAAAGGATTTGACATAAAACAAGCTTTTTAAACATCTTTTTAAAAAAAGTTACTTGTAAGTTAGTTTTGTCTTATTTCAAATGCACTAAGATGTTTGCACTAGAAACTAAACCAAAAATACTTGGTAAGATTTTGTCTTATTGCAGTGTAAGCATCGAAAAACACAATATAAATACACCGTTTGGATAAATAAGTCCAGGAAAACAAGTTCCTGAAAAAAGGATTAATAATCCTTAGAGATTTGAAATGTGTTAAATTAGTCCCACAAATCAGATTTTCTGAATTTAATCTCTGATTCTTCACTCATTTGTCTTTGGAAAATACTTCCAGTTTACTCAATCTAGTCACACAGTCTTAATCCCAATTACACCAAGACTTTGACTAGGCCATTTTGACACCTGATAGAAGGTGAATCTTCATGTCTTTTTCAGCATCCAACATATTTTCCCCCCCATGTTTCTCCTGTTTTTATCTTCCAATCAATTATCTCTGGTGATGAAACAGTCCCACATCATGCTGCTGCCACCACCATGTTTCATTACAGAAATAATGCACTTTGATGGATGAGCTGCTTTCTTCCAAGTTCCTTTAATTTACCATTCAAGATTGTCCCAGAATGTGCAAAATATTATTTTTTAAAAATTTTATCAAAAGATATTTTGTGTAAATATTGGGCACATCGTCTCTTGAATCTTATTTTATAAATTCAGAAATGCAACAGAATTCCAATTAAAATATATATATTTCTATATTAAAGTATAGAGGTACATATTAATCCAGAAAGACATGCAGATGGTAGATTGCTCAACAGAAATGTAAACACTTCATCATTCAAACTGATTTTTTATAAACAGGTTGAGTTTAAAAATATTAATATAGTTTAACAGACTTTTGCTACATTTTTCCCCACATTTCATATTACATTTATGAAATAAAGAATCAAAAACTAGAATCACAATAAAATAAGTTACAATAAGGAAATATATTTAAATTTGAATTTAATTGAAGCCAAATACTGCAGATTGTCCAACATTAATAATTTAAATATTATTTATTTGGTTTAAAGTCTCAATGAGTGTAAATCCAGCAGTAAAACATGGTGGAGGTCCCATCATTCGCCGTGTTGGAGATCTTATAAAACATTAAATAAACTCAACTTGCTAAATGAATAAATCAAACCAGTGACTGAATACTGGAAACCATCCAGCTGGAAGCGTTGTCAATCATAAAAAATGGAGAAAATTACACAACATGCTGAATTTAAAATGAAAAAAAGACTATCAAGTTTTTAAAAAAGTTTTTTGTACAATTTAGTTTTAATTTTCCCATCATCAGTGCAAAATACAAAAATATAAAAGATGCAACAGACAGAGCGTTCCATACGGAGCGGTCCAATTTCACAGGAAAACCGATTATGGCTGAACAAGGTGAGCTGATGAGGCGAATTTGATCGAACAGTCAGGATAACAAAATGAACATTTAAACAAAACAAAAAAAATGGCAACATTTCACCAAAACATCCAGACTGAAGTAGCTGCAGGAATCTGACAGATTTGGAAAGAGTTAACCACCTGGGTTAACATCAACTTTTATCAAAACAAAAACAAAACTTAGGAGTTCCTGATTGTGCTTTTTTTAACCAACATAAAACACTAAATCAAATTACACAGCACAAATTACAACAATTTCCCCCAAGTTATGCTTCAAAACCTTCCTAAACTGTGTCTAATTACTATTAATGAACTAAAAATAGGTAAATCTAATTGGCTGAGGTGTTTACAGACCAAAAATGGCTTTACAGAACAAAATTACAGAAAAAAATCAGTGCATCTTTATCTAAATGAGCCGACTGTTCTCAGTTATCAGTCATTACAGGGGAAAACAAGGTAATGTGGTATACCTGCACAGCTATTGGTTCATGATTCACCTTTAAAAGTCCATTTGGAAAAAAAGACAAACAGATACAACAATAAAATACTGTAACTAGTGAAAAACACTGCAAAAACACAATCTTACCAAGTATTTTTAGTCTAGTGGAAATATTTCAGTACACTTGAAAATAAGACAAAAACAAATAAATGTTACTTTTCAGCAAGTTTGGTTTAGGCAAACAATTCCTTAATATTAACATTCCCACATTAACCTGAGAAAAATGTCATGCAAGTAAAATAATTTGCCAGCAAAACAAATTTTTCATCAACATTAAGGAATTATTCACTTAAAACAAACTCCTACATTTTGCTGAAAGGTTATTATAAGTTTTTGTCTCATTTCAAGTGCACTAGACTAAAAATACTTTGTCATATTTTGTGTTTTTGCAGTCCAGGAGCAAAACATGAGAAAATATTTTCATTTCACAGCTGAACTTTAAAATAATACTCAGAAAAATAGTAATTGGCCCTTTTGCTTCATGTAAATGTTAAAAGAAATGCCAGAAGAATCTGAAAGAAATACCTGCTTGGTGTAAAAACGAGAAAGCGGGCGGTTAAAGTTAGAAATGAGGCGATTATGAGCCATCGGATTGACGCAAAGCTAACCAAACATTCTGGAGTTCCGTTTGGGTTGCTAGGTGACGGGCTGGCGTTGCTGGGTGAAAGGCAGTACCTGCTGATTTGTATCGCAACATTTGGGAGGTTTTTGAAATGGATAACTTATTGCCAACAAAAAACTTCTGAATGTTGTTTTAGTTTAGTGATCTGGCTGTTTTTAGAAGCAGTAGAAACCAAATATAAGTATAAAAACTGCTTTACAGAGCAGAACAGATAAACTAACATAAACCATCGAACAGGAGACTTGGGAAACAGAATGAAAGCATCAATAAATGTGAAAATATGATTAAAAGCATTTATAATTTCAGTCTAATTATATAAATAATTTTTTATGTGACTGGCCTCGGAAACTTTTACACAGGAGTGTTTTTCAAGAGTAATACTTGTGTTTGCAGGGCTATTATTGCTCGTCACAATAAGCAATAAATCAATTAATTGCACAATAAGTTAAAATAGGTTTGGACAACAATCCTTAAAATGATGATCCCCAGTAACATCGTTGAAAAACCACCATTATTTTGATAAACATTTGAGATGAGAACTAAGTAGTTAGTTTGCTCTCCCTGCCCCTTTTGCCAGTTTTCCATGTCTCAGTCAATTTTCCTTATGGAGACTTCATAATTTATTTTATTTTAATCATTGTTGTTTTGTTTTCCAGATAAATATTCTGTAGAAATTAAAAGTTTTTTTTTTATCTTTGAGTTGGTATACTTGCATAAATATGCCTTTATTATTATTAGATTGGTTAATGATGTCAAAATGATAATAACTTTGTTAATCTAAAAAACAAACAAACAAAAAAAACTGGCCTGGATTTGGGGAGGTTGAAGGTCTTCCACTAAATGATCTGAAGTGCCAACATGGAGCGACTGACACAGGAAGGTCCAATTTTATCACAAATCTACATGTAGAATTGTTCTAAAGAAGATGGAGAGGAAATGTATTCTTGACCAGAACCGGGTCAGTCCAGCTGATCCAGACCGGATTGAGGATGCATCACATCGCCTGTCTGTGCATGTAGTCCCAGTCATCGTAATCTTCATCAGTACAGCATGACGTCGCGGCATCATCAGCAGGCTGAACCAGAGGAGCTGCCAGAGCGCTCAACTCATCTGGAACATCTGGGCAGCCTTCTTCCTCCTCCGTCGCCTCCTCTTCCTCCTGCTTCTCCAGACAGCCGAACGTCAAAGTGAGGAGGTTCACTTCCTGGCCAACGTTCACCGCTGCCTCCTCTTCCTCAGTTCTCCTTTCTTCTAAACTATCAAGTTTCTGTTCAGCTCCAGGCCGATGTTCTATAACAACTAGGACCTCGTGCTGCGAGTCTGGGGTCCGGTTGGGTGGAGGTTCCGGTTTGGAAGGTGAAGATAAGGATGATGAAGATGATGAGGTGGAGGAGAGCGGGTTGGCGCCCTGACGCGGAGCGTAGTTTGCTCCAGAGGAGCTCATACCGGAGGTTTCTCTGCAGCTCTCCTCGTCCGATTCCTCTGAACTGCTGGAGGTCCTCTTGCCTGCAGGGGGCGCCATCGACCTGATGTTCAGCAGAGACGACGGGGCGTCTCCACAGGACGAAACTTTCACTTCTTCTAAGTGAAAAATGGAGGTCTGGTGGAGAGACAGGAAAAGTAGGTTCAGATTTACAACATCTGGAGATTAAAAACTTTTTCAGAAAACTTTAAAATATTTTCCTGAACGCATCAGGAATATAATGTAGCAAAGACAGTGAAATCCTTTATTGTATTCATTAAATGAATACAATAAAAAAGGGACATTGCAAGAATTTTGTCACAAATTCTTAAAACTAGAAATATTTCCACCTGACATACTACCAGAGCAGAAAAAGTTAGCTGAAAACTGCAGAAGAAGCTGATCATTAGCTGAAATCTGCTGAAATTTAAGCAGAACAAATGGCTAACTAACATTTAGTGCATTTAGTGACAGACTTCCTGTCTTAAAATGACAAATTACAAATAGACTCATACAAAGGTCGGGCTGCTGTAATGAAGATTATTCCACTGATTCTGTCAGGGCTATGAATAATTTTGAGCTTGACAGTAAAACTGCTCAGCCTAGTTGGCAGCTCACCAAGTTAGACTGTTCAGCTTCATTAAGCCTATAAATGCATAACAGCATGTTAGTGTATTGGTTAATGCTAGCATAGCTAGCTCCGAGCAGCATGTTGGTAAAGCTGCAGACTGCAGGCTAGCCACTAGATAAGACTGATTACTTATCCAGCTGAGGATAGATAAGATAACCTAGAGACAGAGATACAGAAGAACAGCTAAAAAGACAAAGATAGGATTAGCTCGATACAGAAAAAGACATAAGATTAGCTTGTTACGGACCCCGGCCTCTTGAGGCTGTTCAGGCTCCCTTCTGTTATGCAGGTTCAGCTGTGAGAGCACATCTTCCTGATTGGCTGCCTGGAGGCTGTAGGAAAGCAGCTACACCATTGGACCAGCAGAGGATTGTCAAGCCAATCAGACGTTGATGAGGCCCACCTGCACCCTATAAAGGCTCCTGAATCCATTCTTCTAGGGGGGCAGCTATTTTGAAGAGGTTTTGTGAAGCTGCCTCCTCTTGTTTTGGTAGTTGCAACTGCTCTAGACAGGTTTTAAGCTGGCTTGGTCTTTGCTTGTTCCTGTTTGTCCAGTTTAGCTACTTTGACTTTGCTCCAGTTAAGTATGAGTTAGAAGCCTGAGTTTGGGAGGCTGTGTGTTCCTGCAGCCTCCCCTTTGTATGTGTGTTTTTCTTTGCGTTGTTTTCTTTTTGTGGTTTATTTTGAGTTTACTTTGAACTGACTTGTTTGGACTTCCATCCATCCATCCATCCATTTTCTTTCACCCTTGTCCCTCAGTGGGGTTGGGAGGGGTGCTGGTGCCCATCTCCAGCTAACGTTCCGGGCGAGAGGCAGGGTACACCCTGGACAGGTCGCCAGTCTGTCGCAGGGCAACACAGAGACACACAACCAAGTACACTCACACCTAGGGACAATTTGGAGAGGCCAATTAACCTGACAGGAGTTTGGACTTTTGTAACTTTAATTTGTACCTGACATTCTTGAGTTTGTTAATCCCTTTTGTTTTGCATTAATTGGGTTAAATTGTATTGTTTTGTGAAACTTTATTTTGTAATAAATCATTTTTACTTTACACTGTCGCTCCGGACACATTTTATGTTACTGCCCCTGGACCCCTAGACCTTGGGGGCGTAACATAGCTAGAGAGACATAAAGATAGACGAGATTAGATACAGATAGAAAACTTATACTGTAAAAATGCCACAAGTACAATTATCCATGTCAGGGATAATTATTTTAGCAGGAGAAGGAATAAATGTTGCTTTTCTGTGTTAAATGTAGGGAATTAGAATGACAGCATTATTTCTCATTTAAAAATTAATTTTTTTCCCATAAGATTATTTATGCAAAGTTACGCCAGTAGCAAGCAAGTTTCCCAGGGGGGAAATAACGCATGCAAAACTACCATGAGATATTCACTGGAAACTGCATGGTCTCTGCAGATGGGTGCTTCCGTTTTGTCTCGGTGTTGCAGACCACAGATAAAAAAACAACCAAGGCCAAGTCTCCAATCTAAGAGTGCTGACATGGTAGCTGTGGTTCCTTCCTGTTATCACAAATGTTCAGTCTTTCAAACAGTTTGAAATTGAAAAGTTTTTAATGTAGCAGGGAGTGTTTTACTCCCTGATGATGCAGCCATTAAACTTCCCTTTAATGGCTGCATTACTTGATCCTCATGTTTTAAAGTATATTTGCACAGCAGACATTTATGTGGGTTTCGATGTGATAGAAAGGCGCCTGCAATGGTTATAGAGAACAGCCTGTGGTGTTTAAACTGTAAAGCGCATCATTGAAAACAATCGGCATATTGGAGCGGTGAGATGACCTGAAACCCATTTCTGTTACCTTCATGTAAGGACAAAGTGAAAGGTTTGCTCTGAGTGCTCTTCCTCGAAGTCAGCTTCCTGTCAGAAACCACTGCGCTGTTTTTATTTCTTCACAGAAACGTTTGAAGCAGTTTTCTCAGAAATCTCTAAATGTGCCAGCCTCACGCCGTTAATCCAAACTGAGGCTTCAATTTCAACGGACAAAAAAAAGTCTGAATATTACATTAGATCCTAAAAGAAAGAAAAAAATGCTAGGTTTTCTGAAAAGTATGTTTGTTGACTGTGGAACCCAGTGGACCAGAACCAGCAGAACCAGACATGCTGACCCAAACCATCCAGAGTCTATTTTAAAATAAAATTCAGACTTTTTCTTCACCGGAAAAGAGGACTTTTGACCTCACCAACTCAAATTTAAGACTTTTTAAGACCATTGTGAAAAGAATTTAAGACTTATCAAGACAGAAATGTTCACAAGAAAATTGCAAATAAATAAATGGTACGTGTTGGCAACTGGCGAAGATGAACGTTATCCAGTCAGACGATAAATTTAAACATAGCTAATGTTAGCTAATTTAAAAGCTAATTAGCTAACAAAAGTATATTAGCAGCTAGTTTGCGGTAGCCACAGCAGCAGCCGCCATGAGTCTGCGTGCAAGGCAAAAGTTTGCGCAAAAAAAAAAAAGAAATCACACAGGAAAAAGGAAAACCAGAATATGCAAGATTAAATCATCCTACCACGGAAAAATTAAAGTCATTTTCCGTTTTACCGGCCGGCTGCGTTTTACTCACCAGAACCGACGGCATCGGACTCCGTTTCAGACAGATGAAACCGGTCCAGAACAGCAGAGCGATGATGACGATGACGGCCATCACCAATAAACTCAGCACTGCAGAAACAACTGCGTCTGCATGGAGGACACATTATTTTAACAGATTAATCCAGAGAAAACGCCTTCATCATGGCAGAAACTGACTGGGCCTTTTTCCTTTCAAACACAGGATTTATTTCCTCATTAATACCGTATTTTCCACACTATAAGGCGCACCTAAAAACCTTCAATTTCCTCAAAAGCCGACAGTGCGCCTTATAATCCAGTCCTTATATGTGGACCAATATTGAGCCACAACAGGTCTAGCAACTACGGTAAGCAGCCACTGACTTCATTTTCCCCGTAGAAGAAGAAGAAGCGCGTGGTGCATGCTGGGATAGTTGTCAGAACGCTGGTTTGTTAATAAAGTTTGACTGACCTATCTATAGACGACCGTCTATAATCAGGTCGTCTGCAGGTCATTTAGCACCACGTTCTCCACCAACATGCTGTGCGCGAACGAAGAAGGGTGACCATCATCCGGCCCAGTCGCGGAAGGCTTCCCTGGCCAACCGGAGTCGGACTGTTTTGTTGACATTCTTTATATCAACAAAGTGGCTTTAGACATTCATCCTTTAGTGCAGCTCCATCTAGTGGATGTATAACGTAACTCCAGCCTCTACTGTAGCGTCTATTCTATGCGCCTTATATATGAAAAAAGTTTTAAAATAGGCCATTCATTGAAAGTGCGCCTTATAGTGCGGAAAATACGGTACGTTTTTTTTAAGATTTCTATCAGGGTCCATACACTTTTCACAAAGTACAATCAAACATTTTTCAAAATTTTCTAGAACCACACTTTGAAGATAAAAACAATCCATCACCAAAAACAGGCAGTGTTGATTTACTATTACATGGTATAATTTATTACTATTATTATTATTCTACTGTAGGGACAAGAAAACTAAAATGTTATATTTGTAAATGTCTCACACATGACATACACCTGACTGGTCTGAGAATAAACCACTAATTTAACAAAAATATAAACATAATGTATAAAACTACCTTTATTACAATTATAAAGTTCTATAATTCATTGAGAAATTAGGAATAATACATGTTCATTATATTTAAACAATCCAAATAAGGAGCCCTTATTGCTCAAATTAAATACTTTAAAGACAATATACAAAGAAAGTAAAAAAAAATACATTTAAAAAAATGCTCCTGCTTAGTTTTCTGGCATTTAATAGAAATAATTTACTAATTCTAACCAACATAAAAAGATAAACTCTGATTGCACTTTATAGTGAGGAAAAATACAAGTGTTTTTATACATCTGAACACAGAAATATGTAATCTTCTGGTTTCAACTGTAAACAATGGTTTATTTTGTTTAATTTTTCTATTTTTATTTAAATTTCACACTTTGTCCTCTTATTTTTTCTTGTTTAAACACAAATGGGCTCAGAAGATTAGGATCCCAATATTAGTCAAAAGAGCAACACTTAATTTCTTTGGACTTTAGGAAAAGTAAATGAAGAAGAATTCAATTAAGTTGATAAAAATATTTAGAAATCTGAGTTTTTCCACACAAACCTCATATTGATTTTGTTCCTCAGACATTGCAGCAGCTCAATAAAAACATTAATTAACTTGTTTATCCAATAAAAACAGGTGAACTGTGTAAATACAGACTGGATCATTTAGAAAACAGGAAAAGTGTTTCCACCTGAAGAAAAGGGTCCTGGGATGGAAATGCATTCAGGCCGGCTGAAGTTGGACGACAGGTTAGACACACGGTCATTGAACCGGATCGAGACGCAGTAATTTCTGCCCGGAACCAGATCCATCACAATTTCCGTGTTTTTCAGGGAGTGAATTTCCAGGGTCTGACATGAAGAGAAGAACGGGGATGTGACACAGCAAAACAACTGACAAAACTGTGATTTTTTTAAAATTAAAAATAACAAAAACATCAGTTTATATACCTTCAGATGTAGGGCTGTACGGCGTAAACATGAAATCTCAGACTCTGTTCATAACAGATCCGATCTCCAATTTTAATGCAATTTTTTTCCCCAAAAAATAAATGACAGAAAATATTTCCAGAAAGTGGCTTTTTTGTTTCAGTCATCTATTCTGTGAATTATCGGGGCCACATTTTTGTTTAACAAGAAATATTATTATTATGTTGGCACAATAGTTAACGACAAATCGATTACTAACTTAGTTGGTGATTATTTCAACCATCGATTAATCACGATTAATTGTTTGCAGCAGGTTATAACAGCATGATGAGACTTAAGTCATTGTTAAAGTTGCGTTTTCTGTTTAATCCGAGTTGTGCTGAGGTTCTAGTTTTAATATCTTGCCGATAATCTCCACTTGCATTGCAGGTTTGAAAGATTTTATCTCTGAACTTGAAAACAGTTCCTGTATTTAGATTATTTCCAGGAAGAGAAACATCTCTTCTTCGGACATCCTGAATAAATCCCGTGGTAACCTCATACTGCTGCAGGCTTTTTAAACCACATCACATGAAGATATTTGTGATTCCTGCTCAGCAAGTCGTATGAAAGTTTAACCCCTTTAAGTTCTAATGATGCTAACAGGAACCATCCAGGCTGCTGAAACCGGCTCCATTTATAAATCGGTACCTCGGGTATGCCGGTGTGGCTGCTCTTGATCTGAAGTTCGTAATCGATCTTGTCGTAGTTCTCCTGGAAGCGTGAGTACGGAGGCAGGAAGCGCAGGCAGAGTTTGGTTCTGCAGGATGCCACGTTCAGGCTGGGCAGAGGCAGGTGGGCTGGCAGGGCAGAGACACGACGATCACATGATTTACGAACCAAAAGGCAAAGCTCAGTCATCAGATGAGTGCAAACATGTCGATAATTATGGAAGTTTCCCCGAGGCGGCCATTAAAATAACTGAACGTGAACCATTTAAAGGAGTGGCATCGCTCCTCAGATTGCTTTCATTTGATACTGCAAAAAACAAACCTCAGATCAGAATTTAAGAGCAAACTAACCAACCAAGGAAAAACTTCTGTTTTTATGTACTGTGGTGAACATTTGTGCTTTTTATTCTTCTTAAATTTGTAACTTAATGTTCATTTGGTTCATCATTATTATTCCCATTTTTGGAAGAAGCTTGGGTAAGTCTGTATTTAAAGAGGTGAGCATAAGACTGACGTGGCGCCTGTCATGAACATGAAGGAGTCTTCATGAATGTTTTGGGCTGTTGTCATCAAGCGTCATTCGGTAAATGACACTTTTAATGCAGAGTTGACTCTTCTACCTGATTTTTAATGTAGGTTTTAATGCAACTTTGCATAAAAATTTAATTATTTACCAAATAATGCAACTTTTAAAGCACATTTACATTAAAACTGTAAGCCAGACATTCATGAAGACTCCCTCAAGTTCATCATAGGTATTATGTCATGTTTATAACAGCACTGTGTCAAATAAAGTATTACCGAAACCTGTTTTTATATTATTGAACCTTAAGGGACTGCAGATGAAAACTAGCCTTTATGGCTAACTCTGTCATATTATGCAATGCACATTTTCCCTTTTGAAATAAAACAACATGTAATAACCAGTTTAATAAAAATAATAAAAAATGAAGTGATTCAGACAAAGAAGCCTCTTTAATACCAAAGCTATGCTAGCCCTGCTCCAAACATGGAGATAACTCACCTATTGGTTTATATTCTCCAAGTTTGGCTGGCTGGGATGTGTTGTTCCCCAGGTGAGCCTTCACCTCGATGTTAAAGATATGCAGTAGGTCTCCAAATGTTTCAGTCAGGTTGCAGGTCAGTGGTTTCTGAACGCGTTGGCAGCCGGATACCAGGATTAACTGGTGGTTTGAGTTCTGACTGGAGAGGGAAAACCAAGCAGAAAACAAGAGATTTGGGTTGAAATAATTTTTAATGTCTATGTTCACCATGAGTCTCAAATTAAAAACAATAAACGATCTAAGGTTATCTAAACTGAGCTTTCCTCCTCCCATTAACTAAAGGAGCAGTTTTTTTTAAGCAAACCTATTATGGAAAATTCACATTTTGGATGTTTTTGTACCATACTTCCATTTGGGTCTCAACTACTTCTAAAAACAACAAAAACCCCTTAAAAAAAGTCATCCAGCTGTTTAGTTTGGAAATAATTTAATGTTTTTTTTTTGAGTGTGGAAAATAAGTTATTTCAAAAAGTCAGAATTGACTGGAACTATGCAGTTACTTAGCAACCCCAGCAGAGTTCCATCTGTTACCTAGCAACCCCAGCAGAATTCCATCCGTTACCTAGCAACCCCAGCAGAGTTGTCTTTCCCAGCAGCATAATGGCAGCATAATGGCTGCTGGAAAAGACAAGTGTTTTGTTGTCAACTTACCATCCAGAAACCATTTCCTGCATTCTTGTTGGTTGTGGAGGAGGCTCCACTTCTGCTTTTCACATATGTACAATTGTATAATTGCACATCTATCCATGTGGGATCAATAGAGTATTTTTTAATTTGAATTCAATCTGTTTGTAGCCATTTTGGTGAGTGTGTGGCCGGTATCAGCTTATTTGGATTTAAAGTGACAGGACGCCCTGAAACAGCTCATTCTGAAAACAGAACTGTTCAAACTAAAATCTTATTATCCAAAAATGAGTTTGGCCTGTCTCAATAACATTTAGCTGGATGATAAATTCTCCCAGGAGTTATTGAGATAAACCATAATACTGATGTTTTGAGACAATTTTCCAAGTAATTTAACGGTAATGGCATCATAAGACAAGTAAGTTCACCCTCTCAAAGATCAATAAATTTTAATTTGTAACAAACATTTATGTCTGGAACCGGAAGACTTTTTAAATATATAAAATAAATAAACAAAACAAATAAAATGGATACTGATGCCTGTGTAAACAAAATTATCCTCCAAGAAAGGGCTTGTTGAGACTGAAGACTTTAGTCATCCAGTTTTTGGTAGAAATAGAGAAAAAAATAATCATGCAAATTATCGAGCTCATTTTAATTTATCATGAGATTAATTGATTTATTGCTTATTGCAACAAGCTTACTCAGCTGTATTAATAGATTGCAGTGGTGTAGTTTTTCCAAATATAACCACAAAGTTAAGTTTTAGTAACTACAGACACATTTCCTCATTTAGATTTGTCATAACAATTGTTAATGGAAAGTTAAATTAAATTCAACATTCAGACAGGATTTTAACAAACTGGTATGGATTATATCTGTTAATCCAGTAAAGTAGGTGATTAATTACTACATAAATAAACTGTAACCGTAGATGAAACGGCTGACAAAGTCGTTTGGTCCCAGTAGCTTTAATTGAAATCTGATATTATCCGGATTCCTGGGTAGCGGCTGCTGGTTTGTTTAGGAAACATTTCCTGAAGTGAAACTCCTCATGGATCTCCAGGTTTCTCTCTGGGTGAGAGTCTCTCAACACAAACAGTGACTCCTCTGCACCGTTGAAACCACAGCAGCCTGCAGCGGTTTCCACTCAGAGACGCCACCAGGTGAGACCCACCTGGCGGTATGAACGCTGAAATACGTCCCACTGGGGGTTCCTGCCCCTTGTTCCCATGTCAGCATGTAACCCGACTGATCCAAGGTCACCTTGACGTTTAGTGGTGCTGGGAGCCCACTCACAGCTGCAACACAAAAACAACCAGCACGGTAAGCAGAAGGGGACAAAATGCAAGTTTTAATGGTAAATATATTTTCAATCATGGGGAAAAATAAGGTTTACAGATCATCCACTATAGTATCATATACTTTTCCGAAATTCACGAACTTTTCCCAAGTTTTTATACTTTTCCAGCTAAACAAACAATCCAAAATAACTAAAAAAGACTTTCAATTCACTAATATATTATTTATTACAGTTACTAATGTCTTGTTTCTAGTATTTTTACTTTATAGAAGGGACAAAATAAACAAAAATATAACAAAATTTTATGTTTTGAAAAGTTTCTTTCACTGAACCTATGCACAGAACAAAAACAAAAAATTTAAAATGATTTAAAAAAACAAAATGTTTAAAAAAAACTAAAAATCCATCCATCCATCCATTTTCTTTCACCCTTGTCCCTCAGTGGGGTCGGGAGGGGTGCTGGTGCCTATCTCCAGCTAACGTTCCGGGCGAGAGGCAGGGTACACCCTGGGCAGGTCGCCAGTCTGTCGCAGGGCAACACAGAGACACACAACCAAGTACACTCACACTCACACCTAGGGACAATTTGGAGAGGCCAATTAACCTGACAGTCATGTTTTTGGACTGTGGGAGGAAACCGGAGAGCCTGGAGAAAACCCACGCATGCACAGGGAGAACATGCAAACTCCATGCAGAAAGACCGGGGCCGGGTCTAAAACTAAAAATGAAAATGACAAAATAAAAATTACAAATAAAAATAGAAACAAAAATAAGAAAATGATAGAAATAATTTTATCCAATTATTTGTCAAAATAGCTAAATTAATCATTTGAAGCAACCCTGATCATAACAATGCAAGAACAATTATTGATCGATTTTTTTTTTTTTTTTTTAGGAAACTGCAAGGCCATATGACTGTGTCACAGCAACAAAAGCCCCAAACACAAATACTGCTCTTGTAAAACATTCCTATTTGTAATGCACTTCTTTAAGTCATATAAGGAAATGCGATTCATACAATTAAACTGCAAATTGTGACTATACTTAATTATATTTATGATTTTTTTCATGCTTTCATTGAACAGTGGGAAAAAAAAGTAAGCAGAAAACTCTTTGCTTTGCTTGCTCTGCGTTTTACTGGGTTTTTAGTCCATTGCATTTTGCCTGATTTGCTTTTAGCTGTTATATTAGTGCCTATTATAAAGGATAAAGCTGGTAAAATAAACAACAGGGATAATTATCGACCCATAGCTTTAGCCAGTGTACTATCCAAGGTTCTGGAGAGGATTACATGACCGTAAATGAGACAGAACATTTTCTCCTTGGATAGCCAGTTTGGTTTTAAATCACAGCATGGCACAGATATGAGTGTCTTCGCTTTGAAAGATTTTAGATTTGTTTTTTATGTGTTTTACTGATGTCTCGAAGGCTTTTATCAGGTTAATCATGAAAAGTTATTTTATAAGCTACACAACAGAGGGGTTCCCAGATTTATCATTAGAAATGTGTCCTTTTGTTTCATGCATCAGTTAATATACATAAAATGGGGTAATTGTGCGTCAGCGCCTCTTAAAATAAGGAACGGGGTTAGACAGGGAAGTATTTTGTCTCCTCTTTTTAATGTGGATGATTTATCAAAGTGGCTACAACACTGTGTGACAGGGTGTGTTGTTGGTGGGACCATAATTAACCATCTGATATTTGCTGATGATTTAGTTATATTTAGTTCTTAGTGCTGGTCTTCAACAGTTATTGAGGACCTGCTCACAGTATGGTCAGGAGTATGGCATTATGTACAACACACTGAAAAGTAACATTATGGTTATAAGAACCAAGGAGGATCAGAAGTTGGTTGGTACTTCCTGATTTCTCCTTACCTGGTGTTCTTAAAGTGTGCAGTGCTGTCAAATACCTGGGACATTATATAACTGATGACCTGACTGATGACACTGATGGACATTTACAGACAACGTTGCTTAATGTATGCACAAGCCAACATGCTGGTACGCAAATTCAGGATGTGTTCTGCCTCAGTGAAAGTGTCAGCATACTGCACTCCTCTGTATGCTGGTCACTTATGGAGACAGTAGAAACAAAGCAGTTTACAGAAACTCCAAGTGGCTTACAATGACGGAATGAGGATGCTGCTTAGGATGCAGAGGTGGGTCAGTGCTGGTCAGTTGGTGTTGGTGTCTCCACTCTTCATGCTGTCTTATGAAACCTTATGCAGTAGCGCAACTACACATTATTCAGGTGGATGCGAAAACATAAATCGTGAAGTGTAAAACTCGCTACATTTACCTCGTTATGTGCGAGAGGTGAAGGAGCGTGAGGCGCTGAACTGTATGGGAAAACATAATCCGCGTGTCGCCCCCTCCAGACGGGGTTTTGGCGCACCCTCTGGTGCTGCGCCCCTATGCGTTGCATACGCTGCATACCCACTTTTTGCGCCTCTGACCTTATGTATAGGTTTATGTGGAGGTTACATGTTTCTACAAACAACATCATCCAGATACTAACAGATATTTCACAAAGCTCAGTCAGGTTTAAGTCCAGAATGCGGAATCACTGGCTGTCTAGCCTTTCTGTAAATCAGTGACTATATGTGATTATTATCTTTTATGTGATTGTTTCTTTTTTAAATTTTCTTAAATTATCTTTCTATGGACCCATTTGTGTCTTTAATAAAGCTGCTGCTGCTGATGAACTCAAAATCCTGACAGTTCATTAACGGAAATTTATCATGATGATGATGAATCAAAATTATCATCATGATGAGAAACTTATCATGATAAATGATATGACAAATGCTCACTGTTAGCTTGAAAACAAAAACATGTCAGTTTCAAATTACTTCCAAGTTTCCCTGCTCTGTTTATAGCAGTCTGTCACATAAAAACCAAATAAAAACTTTGAACTTTGTGGCTGAAATGTGAGGAATCGTGAAAAAGTAAAACGCACTATGCCAAGACTCAAACAAGTTTAAGGACAGAGCTCAAATCGTGTCAGCTGCCACGGCTGCTGGAAGCTGACACAGATTCAGTGGCAGATTGGATATTAAATATGGATATAAATAAGTTTACTTCAAACAAATCAATAAAAACAATAATAAAAAGAATACATCTAAATATGCAACTGCCACAGATTCGGTGACAGATGCCACCAAATTTGTGACTGTTGTTTGTTTGTACTTATGTATTTTTTATTCATTTATTTAGTCGATTTGTTCAAAATAAACGTATTTGTATTGATATTCAATTTGCCACAGAACCTGTGTTAGCTGCCAAAACTAAGCTGTGGCACCTGTCCCCGGAAGTGCCACTGCCAAGATACGAGTGTGCCGTCTCTGCGATTTGAGCATGTGTTGCAGTTTATGGGTCCACAATGAGCTCCGAACCCGATAATAAATAGATAAAACATAAAAAAGCTCAGAGAATCATAATAATCCAGGTGTTTTGGGGTTTCTGTTTGGTAAACTTTGAACTCACCTGTCAGAGCCAGCGGCAGCCAGGTGAGAATCCACAGCAGTTCAGTCATGACGGAACCATCTCAGAACCGTCTTCTCCTGGACTCAGCTGCTTTCATGTTCCTTATCTCTTTACTTACCGCTTCTCTTTAAAAGTTAGCAAAAATAAACAATTTCCCCAACGAGTCCAGTAAACGCCAAATATTTGGACGATACCCCACTGAACAGACGCCCACTCCCCGGAAATGTGTCGCTAGCTTAAGCACGGACTAGCATCGCTCGGAACCAGTAAAACTCCAGAAACCGAACGGAATTTTACTCGGAAACTGGTTCGAAATGAAAGTATGAGGTTTCCCAGCGGCATCCATTAGGACTTCAGGGAAATATTCCCACCACAGACAGAGGACAACCCATCCTGGGAACCGTAATATGTACGCTTGCTGCTGGTGCGTTCACTGACATGCGGTTACTTTTGAAACCTCTGTAGGAAGCGTTCATAAACTATCATACCCAGGTAGTTTATGAATGGAGACTTTATAAACTATCTCGGTATGATTCTACAGTTATAATTACATATGCTACTGATGGTAATTCAAACATTTACTTACTTGCGATTCCCTTTCTTTTTCCGCATGTAGATTTAACATCAAACGTCCGACTGACAATAAATGTAACATAATACGAAGCGGTTGATAGGAAGTCATGTGACCTACCCAGCCTTTTATGTGAAGAGCTTCACAATTTACAGGTTAAATCGTTTAATTTACAATTTTAACAAACTTTAACTCTGGCTCAGCTTAAAAAAATGATCAGTAAACAAAAAACTTAAACTTTGACTGAACGTAAAGTCTCTTAATCAACATACAAACAGGGAAAATATGAAGACTTCTGACTTGTTATTTATTCATCAGTGTAAAATTCCTCATTTCACAAAATAATTATTTTTTAAATAAGCAAAT